AATAAATTAGGTACTGTTTTGTAGTCGAAAATATTATAATTAATTTAATAAAATAAACAGTTTTTAGTATTTTTTTAGTGTAGATATTGTTTGGCAAGTCACATGTAATTAATTTTCCTTTTAGTAGACTTTTTAGCAATTTCAAATACTTATAAAATTTGTAATTGTTTATCAGGATTATAAAAAGTAATATTTTGTTGTGTTGTAGCCATTTATGGTTTTCCTACCTGGAGTGAGAAGTTAAAGGAAGTTCCTTGGAATGTCAGTGTGAGGATGGAAACAATGATAACGATCAGTCATACAGGTTAGTGTCCTTTTACTATTTTTATTATATTTCATTTACATTATCTGGGATCATTTTCTAAGAACACTATTTAACTTGTACTTTTTGAAGAATTTCCCTTAATAGGTTAATCCTCTTTTAGAATATTTACCTATACTGTCCAGATAGTTGCAAGTTATTTATTTAAGTAGTACTTAAAAAATAGGTTTACTAATACCAAACATGCTCACTCTAATATAGTTTCCATTCAGTATTAATTGCTCTTTTTTCGGTTTCAGAAATATTAATTTTTAACTTCTGACATTCTCTGTTTTATTTAAATTAACTGTAGGGTTTAGTGCCTAGCACATATTTATTATATTCCTCTTATTATTAGGTACTNTACTTTAATAAAATTAACTGTTTCTTAAGTATTTTTTTTAGTGTAGATATTCTTTGGCCAGTCACTTAATGTAATTAATTTTCCTTTTAGTAGACTTTTCTAGCAAATCCAAATACTTATAAAATTTGTAATTGTTTATCAGCATTATGAAAAATAATATTTTGTTGTGTTGTAGATTTCCTTCCTAGGGTGAGAAGTTGAAGGAAGTTCGTTGGAATGTCAGTGCGGGGATGGAAACAATGGTTCGATCAAAGTCGCATGGGTTAGTGTATTTCAACTATTTTTATTATATTTCATTTACAGTGTTTATAAAAATCTGGGTATTGTTTTGCTAGTTACCAAATATACCTAAATTATTTTTCTTTTAGTAGGTTTTTTATAGTAAATTCAAAAGTTTATAAACTTTATAATTGTTTGTCAGGATTATGAATATTAATATTTAATTTTGAAATGGACACGGTGATCGGATCAAAACCACATGAGTTAGTAACTTTTAATATATTTCAATTTCAAGTTTTTATAAAACCAAACAAATATTCCTTATTGCCAATTTATGTGCTGCATATTTTGCCTCTATAGGTACCTATACTTTCTTCACTCTTTTAGCTGCTCTTTCTTGGCTTTCTGAAATATTAACTTTTACGTTCAAACATACTTTTATTTACAATAAATTACTTGTAAAGTTTACTGCCTAGCTGAATGATACCCAGCACCTTCGCAATTTCATACTTATGCATATTATTACATTACATCCACTATTTAGTAAGCGATTATATTTTAATCAAGAAAAACAACTAGAGGGTTAAAAAATATTTATTTAGTATTCGAGTTTTATGCTTCCCTCAATCTAACTAACGAAATGTAAATTTGTAGTTGTAATATAAATTAATTACACAATAATAATTAATA